CTGCCCCCGCCGGAGCGTCAGCTACTCCTCCTGCTCGCCCCCCCTCCCTCCCCAGCCCTCCGCGGCCCGGCACTAGCGTGTGGTCCCGGCCAAGGAGCTGTCTATACCTCGCGCTCCCGGCCAGCCACCGTGCGCTCTCGCGGCGCGTGGCAGTAGCCATGGCGATGGATCAAGTGAACGCGCTGTGCGAGCAGCTGGTGAAAGCGGTGACGGTCATGATGGACCCCAGCTCCACCCAGCGCTATCGGCTGGAAGCCCTCAAGGTAGCTGGGGTCTGGCGCCCCGGGCCTGCCCCGAGACCCTCCCTGAGCCCATAACCCTGCTTGTCTTTTGCTCACGTGGCCCTTGGACCTCCCTCCCCAACCCGGAGGGACCTTCCCTCGCCGCCCTCCGCGCCTCTTCCCATTCCCAGCCTACTCTGCTCGCCGCGCCTGCCCTTTTCCCGGGACGCCCTGGCCACTCGCTGCTTTTGGCGGTCTTTTCTCACCACCGCTTCCCACTGCCCTCTCCTCTCCCGATCCCCGCTTCTGTTCACTGATACTCGCACCACGACCCTTCCCACAGCTGGCTGCGCTTACTGCCCCCAGCCCCGCACCTCCTCGCCTTCCCCTGGCGCACGTGTCCGTCCCGTACTCATCGCCAGCTACCTACCTTCTTTATGGTCTCCCCGCTAGCCCTCTCCCGACCCGCCCTAAATAGGCTCCAGCCCCCATAGTGCCCCTTAAAACGTTAGACCCCTCCCTACCCTCTTGGGTGTCTTGGGTATTTTGGGCTAATTCTCACACGTCCTCATGTTTCTTACTGCGTGACATTCTTAGGCTGTTTTGCGCGATGATGAACTTCCACCACTTACTTTGCATTTTAAAATACAAGGGCGCTTTGATTTCCTGAAAGTAGTTTTCTTGAGTCCCCAGCTGTGCTACTGGGACTGACTTGTGATGCTAATGCAATTTGAGCATATTCCCGCATCAGGCAGTGTATGTGGGCTATGAGAAGTGAAATGACCATTAGGAAAAATGGTTTACATAGTTTAAGTGATGCACAGTGAGCATCATTTAGAGGAAACTTGACAATATGTAGATGTATGCAACAGAATTTGGAATCAAACAGTTGGGTTGTATTTGTTTTTACTATGAAATATTAAAAATAGATACAAAAGTAGAGAGAATACTGCAGTTGTTTTGTGTATACCCATTGCATAAACTCAGCTGTTATAAAGATTTTACGTTTGCTTTATTCCCACTCCTCCACCAAAAGTTTTTAAAATATATCTTAGAAATTGTTTCATCCCCATTTGCTTCAGGGGTGTATCTCTAACATAATTTTTTTAAAATATATTTTTATTGATTTCAGAGAGGGAGAGAGAGAGATAGAAACATCATTGATGAGAGAGAATCATTAATTGGCTGCCTCCTGAATGCCCCTCACTGGCGATTGAGCCCACAACCCCCTGCATGTGCCCTGACTTCCTGGTCGATGCTCAACCACTGAGCTGCACTGGCTGGGCATAACATAATATTTTAGTCTTTTAGGTCAGATTTTTTTTTCAACATTAGTCGGATATTGCATGGGATATCTGGAACTATGAAAGTGAAAGGAATGTTTATCAGTCTTTACTCATCATAATTGATTTATACTTTGTATCTTTAAAATGTAGCTCAGGTTTGAGTTAAGATGATGCTTTTTTTTAGTCCCTACTCCTGGCTCCTAAGGGAAATGTTAACTTTTCTTCTTTCAGTTTTGTGAAGAGTTTAAAGAAAAGTGCCCTGTTTGTGTCCCCTGTGGCTTGAGGTTGGCTGAAAAAACACAAATTGCCATCGTCAGACATTTTGGCCTTCAGATCCTGGAACACGTTGTTAAGTAAGGAGCTTTTGGATGTTACCACTGAAGCCCATGAGAGAGCTAATCTTTATTTCTTACATAACTCATAGAGATGCTCTTTAGGTGAGCAGAAAAGAACAGTCCCCTAGAAGAAAGGATTGGTCCCCTAGGGGTTATCACAACCTCATGCTGTTCTCATTCAGGACTTAACCTTTCTCTTTTTCAGTTTCTTTGTCCATGTAAAGTGCATAGTACATACTAAGCTTTCTATAAATATTAAGTGATAGTCATTCAGCCAGCATTTATTGAGTTCCTACGATATGCCAGCAGACCTCAAAGTTTTTTTTAGAAAAAACTTTGTAAATCATCACAGAAATGGAATTAGTGATGTCTAAATTGTATTTTCCAAAAAACAACTATATTGTTGAAGATGTCCCAGGTAAATACATTTGCTTTTGTCTGTCAGGAAAATCAAGGGGAAAGCTGATCTGTGCACAAATCCTCTGGTTTCCAATTAATAGACCATTGCCTGTATAAAGCTCTTTCCCAAGAATTTTTCTGTTATTAATATTTTGGTTAAGTGTAGACTGTTTTGTCTGTTCTTTGAAGCAAATTAATCAAAAGCATAATTTCTTAGTGAAATCGCCAACATAATCTAACCCAAGAATCAAAGCTAGTCTCATAAAGAGAAGACTTTTAATGTTGACTGTTCTGTTGACTTTATAAATTTTGGTGGCCAGGTTTCGGTGGAACAGCATGTCTCGATTGGAGAAGGTCTACCTGAAGAACAGTGTCATGGAGCTGATTGAAAATGTAAGGAATGATTGGTTGGAAGACTTGTGTTTCTAAGGTAGTTTAGACAGAGTGACTTCTTCATATAGCATTTGTGTAAAAACTCAATGGTTCCTCATATGTTAGCATGCTTTGTATGATATTAAATGTTACCTTCAAGGTAAAAAGAACCATCATCACAACAAAATCATAATTCATCACAAATGTACTGTATGATAGTAATAGTAAAAATATGCAGAATGAATTTGTTCCAGGAGTTAGAATATGACTTTAAACATGTTTAAGATCCACAGCCTTTTTTCTTTTTTTTACAAAGGTCATAAAAAGTGGAATCTCTACCTCTGTTCATCCCCAAAGTCTGGTGTCTTTAATAGGAAAAAAAATTCCCTTCAAAACTATTAATTAACTTAGGATTTGTATTTTTGCTAGTTGTGGGAAAACTTGGTAAAACAACAACAACAAATAGCCCTAGCTGGTTTGGCTCAGTGGATAGAGCGTCAGCCTGTGGACTGAAGGGTCTCTGGTTCAATTCCAGTCAAGGGCACATGCCCAAGTTGCAGGCTCGGTCCCCAGTAGGGGACGTGAAGGAGGCAGCCGATCAAGGATTCTCCTCATCGTTTATGTTTCTATCTCTCCCTCTCCCTTCCTCTCTGAAATCAATAATATATATATATATATATACACACACACACACACACACACACACACACACACACACACACACAAAACACAGATGTGTGAGAGAGGAACATTGAGTGGTTGCCTCTGCACATGCGCACATGCCCTGGCTGGGAATCAAACCCACAAGCTTTCGGTGTTTGGAATGACACTACAACCAACTGAGTCACACCAGCCAGGGCATCATTAATCTTGATATCAAACAAAGGAGAGTCCCAGTAGTAGTCTTTCTATTTTCTAATACTAGAACTATTGCTAAAATATTTAGGGCGCCTCCCAACTCTCCAAATTTCAGCCCCTCAATGTACTTATTTCATATTCTTCACCCTGGCTTTCTTACAAAATGGAACAATCAATATGAGATTCTCTTCAGTTTCTAAAGGAGAACAATGATGTCTTCCTTACTCTGTGTGACAGCCATTTTATAGGCTAGTGCAACCCTCACTTAAGCTTTAAGTGGGGAGAATAATTAGCAAGAACGCAGGACAAGTGACTCAGACATGGAAAACAGGTTGGTTTATTCTGTTTAGTTTAAAAGCAGGCCTCTTGATGAGTTTTCCCACTTTTATGGCCCAGTTTTTCCCTTGAATTCAGTCTTGCAGACCTCTTAATAACTCTTGTTCTTTTTCAGGGAACACTGAACATCTTAGAAGAGGAGAACCATATTAAAGATGTTCTGTCTCGAATTGTAGTAGAAATGATTAAGCGGGAGTGGCCACAGCACTGGCCTGACATGCTAATAGAATTGGACGCTCTTTCCAAACAAGGGGTATGAAATACAGCTGTACCTTTTTTTATTTTTGGTTCTTCAGAGGTTTATTTTATTTTTATTGATTGATTTGAGAGAGAGAGAGAGAAACATTGGTTTGTTGTCCCACTTATTTATGCATTCATTGTTTGCTGCTTGTATGTGCCCTGACTGGGGATTGAACCCACAACCTTGGCTTATTGGGACATGCTCTAACCAACTGAGCTACCCAGTCAGGGCAGGGCGGGATTTTGTTATTTGTTTGTTTTGTCAACAGAAAAGAGCCTTTAGACAAACCTATAATGAAAAGATGTTTAATGTAACTAGCTTATTTCTGTTAATGCAGGAAACACAGACAGAATTAGTGATGTTCATCCTTTTGCGACTGGCAGAGGATGTAGTGACCTTTCATACGCTGCCCTTTCAGAGAAGAAGGGACATCCAGCAAACATTAACCCAGAACATGGAAAGGATCTTCAGTTTTCTACTTAACACACTTCAGGAAAATGTCAACAAGTACCGGCAAGTGGTAAGGGATAGCCCACCTCCCTGAAGTTGTGTTTTTTAATGAGTGTTTTTTTGTTTGTTTAAAGTTCAAATGAACAAGGAACTGAGGTGTCTAGTTCAGCAAAAGAAGAGGCCGTTTTATGGGCAAAAAAGAAAAGGTGGCAGAAAAAACAACTGATTTTTTTGTTGTTGTTTAAGGACTGATTTTCTAAGAAACTCAGGTCAGTGAGTTTAGTTTCCAAGTGTACTGGGAAAAAATAATTCCTTTTATAGTGAGA